TATGCTGCACATTTGCATCTTGTCAAGAGCTTTGAAACTTTGGTACTTCTAGTAAGTTTGAACAAGAAATGATGAGAAATTTTAAAGCTATGTCATATTATTAGTTGTACATAATCAGGAGATATGTTGTATGTTTTGCTATCTTAGTGATGGAACGAAATTGTATATACCTAAATAGTAATGAAAAATTTTATTGGATTACATGTAGTAAAATTTTCTACTTTGTAATAGTGTAGAATGCTTAATACCTAGTAGGATGTTTTGAGCCTCCATAGCAGGCTTCACAACTGGGGCTTTTTTTGCTACTGTTTTTGCTACTGTGTTTGGAGATTGTACCACATGTTAAATTCTGGGCCTATTTCTGAAATTTTTTAAGGAACAGTCCAGCATAAAATTTAGGAAATTTTGCTAAGAAGTAGTACTCGAAAGATTTTTTTATAAAAGATTACGATTTTTAAGAGAGTATTTTAACTGTATTTGAATGTTTTGGCCCAGCAGTTAGGGACTTGGATATGAAATATTGTATTTTAAGTTCAATTTGCACAATGTTTTTGGAAATTTATTTTCCTCAATCATTTGGATTGACATTTAAGAGCTTCCATACGTTTTAGAAATGAAATGTTATGACTTCAACAAGAAAAAACGAGGGATTGGAAGAAATGAAGTTTTATTAAAATGTATGATTTAGTGACATGGAAGTAAATGTATATGTTTATATAATAAATGTATAATAAATGTTACTTATTTGACAATCTGTAATTTGAAAACTCAACAACTCACATAATGATTGCCAAAGTTCTGGTGTCCTGTTGTTAAGCCCATTGATGCTTTTGTTGACCTCACAGTGTTATGAACTTCAAGTACAAAACTATGCAATTCTTGGAATCACATTTTTGCTATGCTGCAATAAATACACCTTTAATGACTGCCATTATACACATGTTATGACTCTTTTTGCAGTTGCATTCAACTTATTACAGAGACATTTCAACCTAATAGTGTAATACCCGATTAAATTAAATCATGTAATCACACCACAGTTCTCAAAACACTTCTCCAGGTCTGTAACCTTGAATGCCACAAAAAAAAAAAAAATACCTCCTTAAAGTCTGAAATCTCAGATTTTTTTGTCTTTCTATGACTTTTATTGAAACAAAATTGCCTGATTATACATATGTACAAGTACAACATAGGGTGTGTTCTTAGGTCCTCTCCTTATACCTTACTTTCCTTGGAAGATGTATAGCACAAGCAGCCAAACCACTAAGTGTATGCGGTAATCTGGATACCATCTTCCACTCATTTCTATCTACATCGTAACTCTGTACTGAGTCTGTAGGATCATCCTTTTCCCTATCAGGATCCTGCCCTCCAAGGACGTACACCTTGTTCCCGATGATCACTGTTCCCATGAGGCTTCGGGGCAGTGGTATGGGGGCCAGAGTTGTCCAGGCGTCTGTGGTGACATCATAACGTTCAACTTGGTTGAAGCTGTTGTCGCGTGCTCTTCCACCAATAGCGAGGATGGTAGTGCTTCCCACAGAACACATGGAGTGTAAGAATCTAGGAAAAAACAGGCAGAAGACTGATGGGTTTGCTGAAAAAGTGGTCCAGTCCAGACTAGTCAGGGGCACTTGGCACTCCTCTCTAATATTAGATTATATGCAGAGCCAAGAGGACCCCAAACATGCAAAAGGTATCTTTGAAAGATGGTAACAGGAATGCCCCTGCAGTTCCAGTACAATCTACTAGGGGGCACAAGATGATTTACTGACATTAACTGACCTTGCATGCTGCATGGGTTCTCTGTAGGTAACCCCAAGAGTTGGATTGTATGTGAACATGTGGTTGGTGAACACATCATCATTGTAGCCTCCTACAGTAAAAAGGGAAGAAACAAAACATTAGGCAGGATGGCAAGAGAAAAGTTTTGGCTTAGTATTAGATTAAATTGTTTTCCATGTAAGCAATACAGACTCAGTACAGGTTCCATTGCAATCCACAAAGTATTTTAAAAATACACAGAAACCAAAGTTTTTTTTCTATACCGAAAATTTTGAACATTACAAAAATCTTCTTTTTCCTTCTAAATGTGAGATAAACCCACCACAAAAGTAAATGAATTTACAGTATTTCCTATAGTCACTCCTGACCTGAGATATACATGGTTCCATCACACACACAGGCTGCCTGGTAGCATATCACCTCCTCCAGCGAACGCACAAACTCCCAGCTGTCCACTTCTGTCGTGTACGCCTCTACAGAAGCTAGCGTCTTGAGACGATCGTTTGAGCCTCCGATTGCGTACAGTCTCCCCTTCCACGGTAAAAGCGAGAAATTGCCTCTTGAGCACTTCATCGGCGACAGGTGCAGCCAGATGTCGAACCGCGGATCGTACCGGAAACAGGCGGCCGTGTTGATGAGGCTGCCAACGACACTGAGATACTGCGGCATTTCGTAGCCTCCGGCCAAATACAGGAACCCGTCCATAACTGCTACTGCGTGATTGGCTCTGATTAGCCCAGGCGTACATAACGGCTGCCACTCCAAATCCTTCTCCGCTTCTTGCTCCCAGAACATCATGTTGTAAACTTCACTCGCTTCTGATCGATCCTCACGTCTCTGCCCGTTTTGGTCTGCCTTCGACTCTCCACCAACAAAGACAACAGAAGGGCTATCGGAACGAACCTTTGTTCTTCTGTTCTGTAGCTTGTTTTCTAAGTAAGGGTTGGAATGGTACATCATCGCTTCTTCAATAAGAGCCTTGCAGCCCTTATCCTCTATCATAAAATCTACCACAATAACATGCACTCTTAGCTCTTCTAGGTACAAAAGTGGAAACCTTACACAACTCATCAGCCGTTTTGCATCAGTCACTCTTGCTTTTTTCTCGTGTTTGACCCACTTTACAACTGCATTGAAGACTTCGAGTTCGTTCTTAACTTCCAACCGATCATCATCGATGTAGAACATCAACTCATCTGCTGACAAGTTCAGGAAATGTTCTGTCTGAGAAAACTTTGGGAAGTTCTTGAATATGAACAGATCCACAGCAGACTTTAGAGTACTAAGACTGTATAGAGTGGCTAGACTAGCAATGTGAATACAAGTGTTGACATCTAGTGTCTTTGTAAGGTATTGGCAGCATAGCTCCACCAATAGCGGAAGCTGTAGCATACAAGCTGTGGACAGGACATTTTCCGCATGCTCAACACCTTCAAGTTTGACTTCAGAGCTGTATATAAACTCAATACATGATGAGACACCCTTGGCACTTAGTCCATGCAGTTCAACTTGACTTTGCTCGCATTCTTTCATGCCGCTTGTGAACATAGCCCTAAAGTAGTCACTGCTAGCTGCAAGTATAACCCTATGAGCTTTGATAGTACACTTGTCTACCAAAATGTCCACATCACACAAACTCCCTGCCTTTTGAAGAACATCTAGTTTGTGCATAAAGTCCTTTACGAAGGATGGATTGCTGAAAACCGTGGCTTTGCTACCTTTTGAGAATCGATCACAGCTTTCCACTACAAAACTCAACTGTAAAAGTTTTCCAAGCAGATGAATGTCATCAACTGTGTCGGCTGTTAGCTGAAGTTTTGATGTGTATAAGTAGTTTATCAACTCCTTGACAGCTCTTTCTGGGTGCTTGCCTAAACTATCATTGTTTGAAACATCTGGATTTTCATTAACTTCAAAGAATGGGCTGCTTGCTGCAAGGACCACATGATGGACTTTATGTGTTTCACATAAAGTAAAGTCACAGAGATGTCCGTCGTTTTGCAGAGTTTGGAGGTTCTCTTGGAGTTTTACTGCATGCACAAAACTTGGTTTATTGTCAGAGTTGTGATGACTGTCGTCTGCAACTTTGTTGGAAGCCATCTTTAGAATGTCTGAAAATTTGAAAAAAAAGCTTGATAAGCAAATTTCTAAAGCAACGTGCAAGTAAGAGTAGACTAAAATGAATTATCTTTGATCTTGAATTTAATATTTGGCACACCCAACGTGTACTTTCGCCCCCCTCCCCATCCTCACAAACACAAACTTACAAAGCAAGCAACTGACGAAAAACCCAACGTAAAAATGGGTGTAAAGAAAATAGATGTCTTTATAGTGTTTATTTTGATTTTTCATTTGAATGAGACTAATTAAACAATCGGTCGAGAGCGAAAATTAAAACACTTTTCCTGTTCCTACCTCTTCCGTGTCCTTAGCTAAGACGTCAAAGGTCATTGGAAGATTTCACTATTATAATAGGGATGGTCTATTAATCAAATTGAACATAAAAGTTTCAAGCCAGAGATGATAAAATCAACTTATATAATTTAGATAGACATATATTTTTTTGAAAGAATCGAAAATTTTGTATTTCTTAGTGCTTTGCCTCGATACAGCTGGTTTGATATAAAATTTCTCTGATTAAATAAGACCCCTAAACTTATCTATGGAATAACCGCCAAAACATCCGGTGTGTATTCACCAACGCATGCGCACTTTATTGGTCATCCTGATTCAGAAAACTGGACGGCAGCGAAAGTTTTGGCTCAAGAAATGGTCGAATTTTGAGGTAAGTCCGGCTTATTTCTTCTTCGACCGAGTCAGGTTTCCTTCAGCACACATCCATAGTCTTAAGAAATTGTCTAAGTTCCTCAAGAATTGTCGAATTCTTGTGGAAAACGTCATTTTTGTGTGAAGGAATTCTTGACCCCTAAACCTAAGGTTTTCCGCGCCAGCAAACCATCTGCCTTACTGGCCCTTAGGGTACTGAGATTATGAAAAGCAGACAGACAAGTGAGAGTGAACAGTTCGCGACCAGTCGCGACGTAAGGAGAAACTAAAAAAATGTCCAAGAAACTTCCCAGCTACATAAGAGGCGAATCGTTTTCAAATTATATGAAAGGAAAGTGTTATGTCATTCTCTCAGGTTTTGGTATTCCTTGGCCGATATATTTTCTTGTCTCAGTACCATGGTATACCAAGGAAGTCTTTTACATTCTAGTAAATTTTAAGGTTGAAGTAGCGTCTTGAGAAGAAGGCTGAAAATAAGAAAGATGGTGTTACATTGCCAGGAAGATTATGACATCAAACAACACTTATAACTATAAACATTAGTCACTTTTGACAGGAAGTACTAGTGATATGTTCACATATGTACAGTCACTGTGTTTTTTTTAGGAAGTGATGTTTATTTATCTATTTATTTATTTATCTATTTTCAGTACAATGGACACTGTTTAAAGTCAATAGCATTGAAACGATTAAGTTGATTTTTGGTCAACACACATAGAACTATCATACTGGTATAGTGGAATTCATAATCAAATTTTTCAGATTTTGGTTTAACGTTATACTTATTTATAGGGCATCTACTCGTAAAATCACAGGTGCTGTCAGATCACAATCTCTACCGTATAACAATACAGATATAGATCATTCTGCTGGTTAGGTGGCATCTTACATAATGCCTGCTGGATACCATTCATAACATCATGCCTGAAGCAAAATTCAAGCATACAAGTCAATGCTGGTAGGACCTTTCAGTCAGAATAGTGACAAATTTCTTTCATACTGTCATATAGTCCTATTGCCAAATCTTGCTTTGTAGCCTCGAATTGTAGCTGGTTTGCAGATAGAAGACTTTAAATTGTAGCTTAAGTTAGCAGTTGATTGTACAATGTACAGTGACCTTCCCTCAGGCTGTGCCCATGATCAGCTGTTTACAATACAACAAAAGCAGTCAGCTGTTGATACTATTGTTGTCAAAAACATGCATATGCATTTGATGATAAAGCCTTCCTCAGTAAAAAAAAAAAACAAGAGTAAGGGACCTTGAACCAGTTAATCTTCCTAAAGAACTGACCTTCACTGGTTACGACTGGAAAGACAGACGGTATGCACTGTATATACAGACTTGTTGTTCTGTGGAAATACACTCAGGTCTGTGTGACTAGTAGACATGAACAGTGGCCCAAGTCTTGTAATAAATATTTACAGGAAGGTCCCAAAAACTGTCTTTCAGAGGCTTGCTATAATTTGGGCTGCTTTTGGCTCTAAATTCGTAGACATTGTTTCCTTTAAGATGGCTAAGTCATTCAAAGTTGTGAATGTACATGCAACATGCATTGTCATGAATTGTCATAATTTTCTATCTATAATTTTCAAAAGGACTGTCAATCTCTCAGGTATCTCAGTACATCATACAAAGATGTGCCCTTTTGCATACTGCCAGCTTTATAAATGATTCTTTTAAAATATTCATGTTGGGATCTGACTTCCATGGGTGGTCCCAATTTCAAGGGCAGGGGTAAGATAATACTTTCTTTTGTTTCCTTCAACAAATACAGAGAATTTTCTAAGATCCAAGATCCTTATTGATTCTATTGGTAAAAAATGCAGAGAATAGTCCTCAATCTCTTTCAAAACGTTTCCAAAATGAATACTCTAAACATGGTTGTTGCATCATGCATTCAGCTTTAGATTCAATGTCATATTAGACTTTGATTTACCTTTACATATATCCCTCATGTTGTACATCTGATACTTTTTACACAGGCACAAACCATGTAAGTGAGTCTCGGACAGATGCATAACTCATACTAATGTTGGATCTAAGCCTAGATCCTCTCTTGTGTTTACTTAATCCGAATATAACTGAGGTCAGCATCAAAGGATTCATGTCATAACACAAATAACTGATCCATGCTTGTGTCAAGGAGAAAATGTTGACACAAGAGAGTGGATATAAATGTTAGACTGTATTAGTACTGCTTGACTTGGCAATGGTCAAGTTCCACTGTTATTCAAATCTTATGATTGAATTCTTTCTTAGAGATAAGTAGAAGCTTAAAATCTTGAGGCTTTTCTGTGAATTATATTGCCAATAATACATGTGCCATTATACTGCCATAATCCTACAATAGGACAAGGCTGAGATCTAATGTAATCTACATGTACATGCATGTCAAGCATATGTGTGTCTTTATTGAGCCATATCTTCTGGTATCAGTCACATTGGTAAGAAACTGTTTTTATAGACTCCAGGTAACCCAGAAGAAAATTTGGTTACAGAGGTAGGCTGGAAATGCTACGTTTTTACACTAAATAAATCCAGTAAAATAAGAACGAATCACAAGAATTTATGAAGTGGATGTAGGTGGGGCAGTCTTAAATATTTTTCTGTTACATTATCACCAATGCCAAGTCAAAATGTTTGGCAAGTCTATTATCATTTACTGTACTTTGGACCCTTTCAACTTGTCCCTAGCTTTGCAAACACAGGTGTGGTCTTTGTAAGCTAGAAGGCAGGGTAGAGACTGACTATAATCAAATAGACCTGACGTTAGGAGGCAAAGGGCCTTTATTTTATCCACTCAGGTATCAGATGTATTTCAGGTGTGTTGTTTCTGATAATATTTATGTTTGGGTAATTGTATCAAGATAGATGTGTATACTCAGTTATAGTGTACCTATTAAGGTAGCTAGACTGATTCATTGTACATATGTCTGGAAGCTGATGCATCTTTGTTCTGCTTTAAAAAAAACAGTATCCAGTATTTAAAATAATCATTGTCTAACTTAATGTTATACATACTTTTATATCTGTAACCTTTAAGGACTAGGATTTTTGTCTCTTTTTCTGAAACTTATACAATCCACATTCTTGGAATATCAGAAGTGAATTATCGTTTTCAAATTTTCCCTACATTGATTGTATCATACCTTGATTTTACAAAATCGTAACGTTTTAAGTAATCTGTTTACAAACCACTTCCAGACAGACATAACAACATCAGTCTGTGGTGTCTACAGATGTGATAAATGTTTCCAGCATTTAACCTGTACATGACCCCATATCTTTGCTTATCAAACTCCGAGCTTTTGCGTATGTGCTTCCGGTAACACAAACAGGTGCCTTGTGTCAATTGTTACACGTACCAGTCCAACTGTCTGCCCACAGTGCCCAGTGTTGTGTTTAGGTGTTACGTGGAAAATTTTGGACAAAGAACTCATCCCAGCTGAGAAAATATATATTTTTTTTTATATTAGATGTATGTTAGGTCTACAAATGTATTGATTTTGATGTCATGTGTGTGGTGGAGCTGTAAGGATAAGGTTTGATCTATTAAACCAAAGGCCCAGCCTAGGGCTTATGAATATCAGTCATATGTATATATACAGGTAGAATAAGTACATTTATTGCATTTTAGATTGTACTGTGGGATGTCGAGGATCCTCCCCATTTTATAATTAGCCTGGTTGCCAGACTTGTCAGGGCCAAATACAGGCTAAAAGCTCCTAGGTTCCTAGGCCAACATTACCCTGGGTGCCATCGGTTTTGTAATGGGGCTCCTTGTACTCTATACTTTTCTAGGCTAGGCCAACATAGCCTGAAGGAAATTTTTCAACAGATCCCTCCAGCTTAGTTAGACCCAGAGCTCTTAGGGTCTAACTGGGGGCTGGCTTGTGTAGCTGGCCTTGGGAACAGTCTGGCATCCAGGCTACCCCATTTTGGCCTGTCCCTCTTCACTGTGAGTCATACCAGGAAGGTTGGAAAGGAAGCAGCTTCTGTGGAACAGTGGCCTGATCCCTACTAATCTTGTTAGGTCGAGGCAGAGCAAAAACATGAACAGGAAAGACTGTATTCCTTCTCAGGAGAGGGGAAAAGGGCACAGGAAACCCACATGTAACCTGCCAGCTGCCCTTATTTGAACAGAAAGCAGGTCAGGACAACATAAGCTTGCTGAGGTCATGTGTCTAAACAGGGACTTATTCAATTGTTTTTCTTCTGCCATTTGCAATCTGTGTGAAAACTGAATGTGGGAGCTACATGTACCTCTTATCTCCTATATCTTAGAGTGGACTGTTATACAGTTATAGTCGGTAGTCATTGGTAAGTTACTGTTTCTGTGAATGCTTGAAAAACTTGGCTAAAATCAGATTTGTGAAAATGTGATTCATGGCTCTTTGAAATGATATAGGGCAAAAATCAAGAATATATCTGAGAATTTTCTATTATCCCAGTATGTAGGTTTGACACATTTTAGTGCATGCAGAGCATTGTATATTAATCTATATTTTGTCCTTCAAGTTCAAGCTACACTGACTGGTACATAATGGCATATAATCATGTATTCTAGGTATTATTTGTGCTGTATGAATGACAATGCCTTAATACAAAAACAGGATGAAGCAAGGTCAGTTATGCTGCTAATGTGCTAAACCGGTATGTAACTGTAAAATACATAATGTATTGCCTGTACATACTGAATTCGCATACTAAATGCACTAACAAAATTAAATTCCCTATTGTTGTTTCTCACTCCAGGTGAGCCATGGGTTACGACGTGAACAGATTTGAAGGGAACGTAGACGAGGAGTTGTTGTGTCCGATCTGCGGAGGTGTGTTGGAGGAACCGGTGCAGGCACCGCAATGTGAACATGCCTTCTGCGTCGCATGCATACAGGTCAGTCATGTACAGTATGTAAAAAGGCCCACACTGTTTTGTTAAAGGTGCACTGACTCTGTTGAAAGTGCACTCTGAAAAATTTTCAGCAAGAAAATTAAATATCCCCTTGTTAAAGATTCATACATTACATAAATAAGGATGGATTTTTTTATTAAACCTTGATTTATTTCTGATAGTATTTAAAATTTCCTAACAATGAAATTTAATGGAAATCGAAAGCAAAAGAACATGAAATCTGGAAAATTTCAACAGGATTATTTGACTCTGTTTGAAATCTCAAATTTTGAGATAGTCCTTTCTCCCAGAACCCTGTAGTATATCATTGTTGTAGAGTAATTGTTAAAAATAACTTAAAGCCGCTTGAAACCTAACCCTCTGTTTTTGCTTCTCAACAATGAGGAAGTTCAGAGGAAGTATAACAATACCACCCCCTTGTTCCCATGTAAAAGATCCTTCCACAATTGTGTTGCACCCTCCAGGAGTGGCTGTCTAGACAGCACACATGTCCGGTAGACCGTCAGACGATCACGCCGTCGCAGCTCAAGCCTGTCCCCCGCATCCTCCGTAACCTGCTCTCCAGACTCTACATCAAGTGTGACAATGCCAACTTTGGCTGCACACAGGTAACCAGGCGTAGAACCAGACAAGAGACAAAACTTGACCAATTGCCAGCACGAACAAAGTGAATTACAGTATTTTTGGCGAGGCCTGAAGAGCGAAACCCAATAGTATAGAGTGTAACCAGTATGCTAAAATTCTAAGAATTTCACAGGAAATGTGTAGTCCATACCTCTTGTTGGGATTGAGGGATTGTCATAATTTGGTATGTAGATAGCTTAATTAATATTGCACTCTGGGGCAATCCTGTCTCAAGGTTAACAACCAATTGTTTGACCTTGTTACAAAAGGTTTTTCCTTATCTTGTCCTTTTCAGGTTGTAAAACTAGACCAGCTTGCATCCCACCTGGATGAGTGTGAGCACAACCCAAAGAGACCTGTGTCCTGTGAGCAGGGCTGTGGGTAAGTCTTAACCATACTACTGATCTGCCAGATAGAGAATACCATACTGTATTCTGACTCTACAACAACACAAAACCCGTAATGTATTGTGCGTCTTATAAAAGGTCTTATTTGTGCATATACGGTTAACATCCCATCTGTAGTGTCCAAATGTTATGTCAAAAAAGATATCGTCTGCTAGGCAAAATTTTGATGCAACATTGACCAAAAACCATGAAAAATCAGGGTATTGCACAGGCGCAGTATGCTCTGCCGACGTGCTTCACTAAACTGTTTATCCTAAACCCCCCTCCGCAGCCTTGTTATTCCAAAAGATGAGTTGAAGGACCACAACTGTGTGAAGGAGCTGCGAGCGGTGGTGTCCCAGCAGCAGGTCAAACTCAGTGAATTCCAGAGCGAGCTTACCGAGCAGAAGAGGATGATCCAGGACCAGAAGCGTGAGATCCAGATGCTGAAGGAGTACATGCGGGCCATCCGCGCCTCCAACCAGCCCCTCACCAGAGCCATCGAGGACCAGATGGAGTCTGACGAGGTGGGTGCAGTACCGCCTCTTGTTGGTAGGAGGTGCTTGAGCCAGGAGGTGAAGAACTGCACTACTGTACCTAACCACTTTCTTACTTCTACCTTTCTTAGAGATGTCCTTTGGCCTGAGTGTTTGTTTTCAAGCAAATCGGTAGGTTTTTAGGCTTTTGCTACAAAACTATTATTGTAAAAATTAGACAATTGATCATGAATCCATAGGACATCTCTAAGACTAGAAAATAGACTATTTCATGGATCCCTTTGCTTGCTTGGAAAAATAGAGCACTCTGGGTAAATTGGGTTACAAACTGGACACAGTACACATGCGTGTTGTCATAGCAATGTATTGTGTTGCCACCCTCCAGTTTTCTTTGATCCATGAAATGGTCTGTTCTAAATAGACAGACACTCCTAATAACTACTTAGTAGTCTCTACTCTTATTAGTAGCTTCCTTATTCCTCCATCTTACAACATCATGCCCCTATAAAGTTCTCTTTGTCTGCTTTCTTGTATAGAACAGTACGTCCATAAGTAAAAAAGCATTTTCCACACGACATTTCCCAGCAATGAAGCGTGTTGTTTCAGGTGTTGCGGTGGGTGCGATCGCTGCAGACGGCACGCGTGACGCGGTGGGGAGGGATGATATCCACACCTGACGCTGTGCTACAAGCTGTAATAAAAAGATCCCTCCTGGATAGGTGAGTTTTGAGTATCAAATTTGACAGAGCTTTCACTCAGATAAGGGAAAAGTTTGTACGACTCTGCTAGTGTCAGTCTTCTAATACACAATGTAGTAAAAGATTCTTATGCAACTCTATTCCATGAAAAATTCCTTTCATATTAGACATGCTTGAACCTTTTCTGGAACCTTTGAACTAACTTTCTGTCAGCGTCCTTGTATCAAGTATGTGAATATCTAGAATTGAAATCAAGAAATGAGATAACCTTTTCTTGGATCTTTCTGGGAACTTTGTCCTAACTTCCTGTCAGATTCCTTGTGTCTAGTATGTGTAAACAGCCACAGAAACACAGGCAGACATACCAAAAGTAAACAAGTGTTTTGTTATATTTACAGTGGGTGTCCTGCCGGAATCGTTGACGTCCTCATGGAGAATGCTCACGAACGCAACTGGCCGCGTGGGCTGAGCACGCTGGAGACTCGGCAGATGAACCGCCGATGTTACGAGAACTACGTGACCAAACGGATCCCAGGGAAGCAGGCGGTGGTGGTCATGGCCTGCGAGAACCAGCACATGGGACCAGACATGGTCCTGGAGCCTGGACTGGTCATGATATTTGCTCATGGAATAGAGTAAGAGCTTCAATATGTAGATATAGCATAATATATATCCTTCCATGTAAGCATTAGCAGCATTATAGCTGTTCCCATTCCTCAAAAAGTCGAAGATTTTCTCTGAAGGAAAGTTGTTACCGTATCTTTTGCATACGATTGGAAGGAAGAAAAAGATGTCAAAAAGAAGTTAAAGACACTGACACTAGGGAATTGTTGCACCTTAAAACTACAAGTTGGTGCGCATACATGTTAGAGAAAGTTTTTGTTTTAGAAATCAATGAAAGCCAAAAGTAATTGGCTACTTGTACCAAAAGTTGATTTTTCTTAACAAAGAACTTCGATGGTGTCACACTGTAGAAAGTCAAATAAATGCCTGATACACTGAACTGAAAATGACAAGTAGTAAATGTAGGTTGTGCACAAAAGATATTCCTGCAACAGCTGCACATAGAGATTGTGCCTTTGTCAAAAGCATCATGATACAGGGTCAATATACTAAACTACATGTAGCAGCCAAAAATTATGTGTAAACTAAATATAGCAAATATGAATATGTGGTACAGTGAACTTGTCTTTCCAAAATATATAGATCATGGATTGTAGAGTATATATAGAACATGTATTGGCATTCTCATATATATTGTAACATGGAATGCCTAGTAAGTAGATAGTGAATATGTATGTTCCTATGATAGCTTTTTCTTCGCAGTGTTCTAGATAGTTAGGCAGAATATTGTAAATTCGGTTATTCTTGCGAGGATTTGATTTCACAGTAGAAGGGAAAGGGAGGTTTTCACAGTGTTTAAAATTTGTGGTTGAAACAATTCGATAATAGAGTAGTCATACATTTGGATTAGAGACGTCACTGGAAAAACCACCGTGAACATGTCAAAATCTACAGTAGTTGTCCTAACTTTATCTTGAACTTCGAACATTCATGGCTTAGGTATGTTGAAAGAAGACCTGATGTAGTTTTGTTCTATTGTAGAGCTACCTAAGCCTTGCTTATTTTTCAAAATGTAGTATTTCATAGTAATAGTCATTTGCTCTGTATGCCATTTTCATGCTTTAGTTGCCCTATGTTTCCTATAAGAAACATTTCTCTACATTCTAAGCCCTAAAACTCTCTTCTAGAGCTTTTTGCAGCAAGCTTGTTGTTGACAGTTTCCTTGTTGTTTCTGCATGCATACCAATGTTTTGCTTTTGTTGTTGCCACAGCGTTACTGATTACTAAACTGGTGCGGCATGGAAAGATGGGAAAAAGGTTGGTTCATTACAGAACTTCTTAAATTTTAGTTTTTACTTCAGTACGCTATTGCTTCAGTCCCCAGTACAGCATGCTTTTAAGAGAAATTAAGGTTTCTGTTCATTTTCATTTGTGATATGCATTGCTGGCATTGCATGTTCTGCTATAGTTCATTTGCCACATGTGTATAAGTATCAAATTGTTAGAAAGCATTACTTTATTTACTCTGGTGCAAGAAGTATGCAAAGCCAAGACATAGGAATATAGCCAGATTTGAAATGATTTATAAATAGTCATGAAGTTGAATTGAAATCTGAATGTACAACCATACACAAAATTATGGTTATCCCAAGTTACTTTATTTTAAATTTTATTTTTATTTTAATTGGATTGTGATGATACAATACACTGGCCATCAGGCAGCATAGCTGATTTCGGGCGCCAAACAATACAAAGATAACAAATATAATGCTAGTTGTACTGTATTGCAGAACCACCTGTATTATGATGTATACTTAATGTTTTAGTACACTAACACAAGTCTTTCCTTTATTTCAGTTCATGACACCTTGATTTGGATGGTATATGGAGTATTTAGTTATTTTCATATGGAACACAGTGACGGGGGGGGCATATATATAAGTTAGTGTGGAGCAAAAGTAGGTGGTATTGTGTGTGTGCCAAAATTATGATATATATTGCTATTTACCTCTATTTAAGCAAACAATAACGGTTGGATAAAGATATTATATTTACTATTGTTTTGTTATGCAACTGTTTTGGGCAGGTACATCCAAATTATAAGGTGTCTACTATACATTGTTTGGACATGGGGAAGTTAGTAGGAGACGGGCTCTGGTCATGCATTTCTGAAAATCTGAATAACAAAGATTTACCTGAAGGATACCATATTAGATGCAAGCCTAAAAATTCCCCCTTGTATCGCTTGCATGCATATGTCACAAGTTTATACATGTATTTCAGTACACATTTGCATTGCAAAATGCTCTTCATATCAACATTTTCCACCGTCAGACAACATACACAGACAAAATCTTCTCTCACACCCTCATAAATGCAGGAAAGAAACTTGGATATTGGTGATATGATAACTGAACTGTAAATACAACATGTATTCTGTATCACCCAAGGTACCAGATAACCACAGGTCAGATCACGGCCGATAAAAAAAAAGCATTTCAATGCGAAATGTCATTTTTGGGGCAACTTATTGCAATACTGTATGTTTCCATGACTGTCCCATTGCTTCTATATGTAATATATATGATATTATATGTACATTTATCACTTTACAAAATATGCAATGCCTACATCTTTGCCTACTTGCTCTTATGGTGCCAGTCAACACATACTGTATGTTTGTTTGTTCTGTTTATTTGTCAAACAAACAAACACATACTGACACGTGTCACTTACCTTGTTATACCTACAGTTTATAGAAGCTTTTCTATTTATTAACCATCTGGTACAAATTACAATTACTTTCCTCTACAAGTTTCTTTCTCCAACTTTCAAAATGATGTAAGTTATACAATTTAATATCCTAGAACAATTCAGTTTTTACGAAGTCTCTATACATCTACCAGTGACAATAGCATCAAAGGATTCCATATACAGCTGTATGTGTATATACAGTTATTCACGTGTGTGTGGGTGTGTATGTGGATTTTTCTATCACTATCTCCGATAGAATACTACATGTACCACAAGTACGCAGAAGTTTGCAGTAGATTGCAGATATTGGTGCCAATTTTGAGTTTCAGCATTCTACGCAATCCTAAATAGGACAAAAACAAAACTGCACAATTAAGAAAAGCACATGTGCACAGACAAAGTTGACTGACCAAGTTAAAATGTGTGCTTTTTTACATACATAATCAATACATCTACAATTGTACATTCTAAACTAATGGTATTTGTACAATACTATATATTAGTTTATTAGGTACTACTGGTACAATCCCCCTTTCCACTAGTTAAGTGCTCTTTATGACTAGTTGATTGTATTGAGAGTGATTTTGTTATTCAGATTTGCAGTTTTTAGGTTTTTTGTGATATCATACCTGTGTCTTTGGTGTCCGGAACATCATAGGTTTCAGTTTGGTATTAGATATAAGTTACATATTATGGTAAGATCATTTTTCTATCCGTCTTTGGAGCAGGCTCTACTAAATTATATATCCTGGAGGCCAGCCCAATATAGTTACTTGGTTCATGGGCTTCTTTGCCAGAAAAAGCAGGAGAATTTACGAAGAAACATTTGAAACATGTGAAACTGAACCTTATGCACAGGAACTTTGTATCCTTGCTAGTACAGCAATTCTGTTGAACAACTTGTATAAACTCAAGCTTTCTCAATAGAGCAAGTTGTTCATCCCATGTTTACTGAAGAAAGATGTCTTTTGGTAAGATGTTAAAGTTTGATCAAAGAACCAACTGATAATATTTAAAATTGTAAATGGTGAAGTATATATGCATGTCTTATATGAGATCATGGAACAAGTACTGGTGAATATTTATTTCATTTGTTTTCTTTATAATCACCAAAATTCAAAACTACACAACTGAAGGCTGTATTATGAAACACTGGGTAACTGTTGGGCTTTCTCATTGGACATAATATTAGTAAAAGGGGGGGTCCCCAACTCAATGGAATATTGTATATGTATCGTAGGCCATTGCATGCCTAAACAGAGAAAATGAATCTGTCAATGTAAATACGATAGGGGTGACATTCGAAAAAAAGGTTCACTGAATATAAAGCAGATTATGTCTTTGAATTGTGCATGCATCTATCAAAAGCCTCTTGTATTCAGTACCCCCTTAACCATTGGAACTACATTGATAGGTGCATTAGTACCAATAGATAACGTGCACTATTGGCACCAGACCTTTGGTAGTGCTGTATTCTGGATGCAAGGCTTACATGTATGACTATATACAATTGTGACTACAAATTTGTACTACATGAGAATATGTTCTGTAATGCATCCAAATAGAACATGTAGATTACTGGTAATGTTATAGGGTCTACAGTACAATATTTCTGTGTCGTGCATTTACAAAACTAGCAGCAACAACAGGAGCCGTGTAGTTAAGAAAACTGAACATCTACCCACAAAACATCAGCTTGGATCTCTTAAAGACATTGTTTACATTACTTTGATATTATTGTTGTTTTGTTTCCTTACGTTGATAGTATTATTGCAGGGTTTTAGTTTTGTTATTTTATTATACTGGATTGCTGCATGACACTACTGGTACAATGTACAACATGTGTCTGATAGCTTTCTACATGTATGTGTTGCTATTATGGTATTATGATGAATAAAGTGTATATATGAAAATATTGCATAGCATCCTTGAAAAATAAAAAACCATCAAAGGTGCCGGATAGGACACATTGATAATGATAAAGAATGAAATGGATAACAATTGCAATTGGGTGAACTTAAAACTAAAACTCCAGTTGCTAATGAGCTTGATCCTATTAAAGGTACTTGTACTAGTACTAGTATTGTCTGTTACCTTGATTTTGGTGTACATGACTATACAATTGACAGAAAAATTATTTTCTTAGTTTTTTGATCTCGTATAAAAATGCTCTAACTATACTGTTCCCTAAAAACATTAATATGATGTTGAAAAAGGGAAAATATTATCGTCACGGACAGGATTCGAACCTGTGCGGGCAGAGCCCATTGGATTTCGAGTCCAACGCCTTAACCACTCGGCCACCGTGACAAAGTCGAGGGTTGGAGGCGCCTCCATGGCAGAAGAACTAAACAGCACAATTTTGACTTTTCACGGCGCAAATACGCAACGATAGAAGTTCGCAGTTATGTGCATTATATCTTGAGACATGGCCGTACTTATAACACATCATAAGTTAAAGATTGGCCCGCGCGTTGGCTCGCTTGGCGGTATGACGCAATCCGCCGCCGAAATTCGGAAGAATTTGGAAGGATTGTACAACAGCGCCTCTACTGATTGAGATCAGTACTGCAGATACACACCTGTCACAATCTGTTAGTGGTGTTTGTGTTCTTTTATTAACCATTACGCGTAAAGGCAAAAGGGGGGAACATTAACCTAGGCTCAAAAATTGATGTTAGATTTGTGATAGAATATTTCTGAAATATATATATATGTATTTAAAGCTGACGCCAGTGAATTCATACCTACAGTGTCCCCTGTCCAAGAATGGAATAAACCGTTTCTTGTTGTTTTGTTCCTAAGGCCACACCAAGTAAATTTTATGGATGACGTCCTTTGGAGACCCTAAATCAAATGCGAGAGGGCGAAAAAAAAACAAGAAGGGCCCTAAAAAACAAGATGCCTAGATTAGAAATATTGCACTGCTGACAGGACCGTCCTGTCTGTTAATACTTCCAAAAACGGCACTGTTTTGGAACTATTGACAGGATTTTTTTCAGTGCCATTTTTTTTTCATTTTTGTTTCCATTTTTTAACCAGGCACAGGCTTTCGGCGTTACGGGTTTCACATCAATCTGACGATTTGCGGCACTGTCGTGACTCTTTGGTCATAGTTACAGGAAGCGGAAATTCTTTTTTTTTTCTTGGAACAGGCCAAAATCAATGCGCGCGCGGACGTCATCCATAAAATTTACTTGGTGTGGCCTAAACAAAAACTGGTTCTTCAACTTTTCGTGAACCCAGCATGACCCCTCCTTAATTATCTTAGAGGCTAAACTGGAGGGTTTCCATGTTTAACAGAAGTACAAAGCCATGTGTATAGAGCGAAATGAAATTTCAATGCAACTTCCACACAAAAGATAATATATGTAACGTTAACGTTAGTCGTTAGTATGTAGAAAAGGCGATGTTGCTTAGATATACAGAAGACTTTTGTTGCAGCGTAAAATACTAGTAGCTATAGCCTTTCGTTCAGTTGCAATGAAAAACAAGGATGTTTAGGCAAAATTAACTCTTGGCTCGAATTTTTCTAGAACATTTCCCAATCGCGTAAATGCGCATACGCTCCAATTTTGTCATTGCTAAATACATTAGAGAATATATCTGGAGTTTATTTAACTATTTTGATAACTCCAGTATGAACGAACTTCTTGTCTTTCTACCCACGGAGGCCGTCCCTCGCCTGTTTTCCCAGATAATCCGGATTGCCGTATTCAAAACCCCCGTCAGGCCCCCTGTTATGCTTCACTGAGACGCGTCCGTTTTTACCCAACACACCTTGGGGCATCGCCAGTCAGTCAGTCTGTCCAGTTTTCCACATTTTTGTCTTATTTCGACGTCTTACCTTAACGATCTGATTATCTTAAGGCGTTCAGAAGACACCAGGGTCCCTTAAGGAGTGTGAAAGTGGACCGAAATGGCAGGACTTAGGGAGTATACGGTTGTTTTGGTCGTCCTTTTCGTCATTCCTACAGGTAAGTTACGCCACACCTTTTGTTAGCCTTCCTGTAAACACACAGTTTAATCATAGTGTCCTCTTGGTTTTACTTGTATGTTTGCTTTCGTGTTTAGGAATCAAACGTGAAAAGTTTTGAGACATATGCGTTTCGGGCATAAAATGTTCGGGTTTTAGTAAGTACAGGTATTTGAACAGGTGTGTTTTTGAGGGAAAGATGGCTTCGTCACTGCCGACATTCTGTCTCATGAATATTCATCATGTAAGACTATCTTTGCAAAGAACCTTCGCCAAGACTTCGTTATATGAAAACTTCAACAGAATCGTAAGGTGCAGCTACCTCATTCGCAAGCCAAAGTAAAAAAACAGTAACATTGGACTTTCAAAACAACTGATTGCAAGTGTTTTTTTCAATGCCACTCATTAGGAACTCTGTAAAGACGATTTTCTTGTCCCAATGCAAACAAAGCGTCGACTACTGTGTGTTTTTATTGACTTGTTGTTTGCTTTGAAGATCGAGACTATCCAGAGAAAACTAGACTGATACAAGTTGGAGTTGTCTTGTCTAATAAACAGGTGGTTGCAAAATTATGAGAGGATACCGCCCACCAAAAAACGATAGAAATCTGAAGGAAAAGGTCTGCAATCAGTCTATAAGGTTGTTACCTTGATTTGATCAACTATGAACTATTTTAAGTTCAGACAGTTACAATGTAGTCGGTAAAGGGTACTAGTAGTAGTATGTTTATGCGTGCAGTGCTAGACAGCATTGAAACGGAGACGGGACAAGCTGACACAAAACTCCGCCATGTTTTTGTCATGCATAATTAACGACTTTGTCTGCCAAAAAAAGGACCAAAATCGTACTACTCCTCCTCTGTCGGTGCTACATTTCATTAGAAACATTCGAGCCAAACATTGTAGAAAATAGAATTTGTGAAAAAGCACTCTTACAATGGAGATATTCTGCTAAAAGTCTTAGGAATTTTTGTAGAATGCGTTATCGCCTGGGGCAACTATGTGTCACCGCAATATGCTTCAGTAACCGTCAACCTGCAAACTCAGCTAGGTTTGATTTTTACGAAGGACCCTAAACAAAAAAGGCTTTAAGATAAAAAAAAACTGCGATCTAAAAACAATCTGAAAACAATCGTACCATATAAAAAAAACAATGTTACACAACAACCTGTTAAATGACTGCCACGCGAAGAAGAAAGCTAACTTAAGATAATTTTCGGGGGTAACATGCTTGGAATAAATGAGGATATCGTTTTACAACAATGTAAACTTCTTTTAAGAACAATGTAAGTGACTGTACATGTGTGTAATTAGTATGGCAACATTGTAGAAATATTAACACAAATCATTATTACAAAGAGATTTTCCGAGCTTTTGTAATTATCTTTTTTATTTTTTTTATTTTTATTTTTAATGTGCACTATTTTGCTGTGTAATCTGTACATTATTCGGTATTAAATGACGCCATATCTTGTTTCCAGCGGTGCTTGGTGCCCTGCCGTTCCAGTGTTACGGGTGCACAGGCCGGTACACAGACGACTGTATCTCCAACAAGGACATCGTCAACTGTACCCGCGGTCAGGACACGTGTATGATGGAGGTCATCAACTTCAAGTCATGTGAGTTACCCACTAAAGTTCAAATTCTATGAAACGTTTTTTGTAATTTAGAGCAGTTGTTTGAACACTATGATATACTAAGTATCGCTTATTTATGAGTCATGTAGAACGTGAAAGAAAGAACATTTTCCATTTTTTGAAGATATATTCCACATCGTACTTTCAGGAAATTATTACCCAAACCTTTCATGTTTAATTTAATTGTTTCAAGATTGTTTCATGTGACATGTTCAAGTAGTGACGGTTTTGGTGGTGTATGGAGGAATTCAGGAAGTGGTGTAATGCGCGATTGAATTACATCTTCGTGAAATCTCCGATTTAATGTTGTTGTTTTCATTTTGCATGATTACAATATATTGGTCAATAATGATTTTGCTCTTTATTTCTAGCCCTACAAATGAGATACACAAAGATGTGCACCACCCGAAGTGCCTGCCAACAAGCCAAGAGCAGGTACAGCAAGGGGTGCCACAACGCGGAGGGGGCCATCTGCGTGACGTGCTGTAACACCGCCCGGTGTAACGTCCGGCCCGACCCCACCTACGGACCGGACTGGGTCCGCCTCAGCCGCAGGAGCGCTGGCGTGCACGTGTCGCCTGGAGGCGCTGTGGTCATGACCGTTCTGACTGTGTTAGCCATGCACCTGGTTTTCCACTAGAAAACATTTTAAGTGACAGAATACACGATTTCAAAGGTTCTGATTGTACTGTTGTACCGAAAGTATTCGAATTCTTGTTTCTATGTCCTTTTTTTAAAACTACAAACCTCGCAATGACGATTAACTCTTTAAACCTGTTTAAAAATGTTCTTTAGCAAAGAGTATAGAATGTCAGCAAATTATACAAGTGCCTTGAAAGATCCTTTTACATTTCCTATGTATCATTTTCTCATTGGACATTGGGTGCAATGCAAAAATCAAATCTGCAATGGGTGCCTTTCTATTTTGATAATCTTCTATTTTAGACTTGCTCTAGTAATAGAAAAAAGTAACTGTGTTTTAGAATTCTATAGCCTATGACAGTGTGTTTTGATAGTCAAATCAGTCCTATGCAGTAAAATATAACACACTTTGTATCACTGTACAATATTGCCAGTATATACGAGAAAGTACCAAGGATTGCTGTTATACTAATACATGTACAAATGATTTCGTTTTACCGAATAATTAGACCTTAGAATCGACCTAAAATGTACCAAAACTTTTAGTCCAGCAATATACTGTTATAGAATAGCCTTTAGACTAGAGCTGTGTTGTTTGGTGGTTGAATTTTGTATATCATAATGACTTAATATGTATTTTCTACAATTACATGGGAACATGCAATAGTTTTGTTGTTGGAAAGACTATACTTTGAAACCAAAAGACAGGAAATAAGATAACCTTTTCTGGGACCTTTGACCTACATACACCCAGAAGTACATCCAAGTTTAGGCATGACTGTTACCATTAGATACACGTATGTGTATCTTATTTCCCTTTCTTTTTTGATAGTTATGTATTTTGATTTGTGTATGAAACAACAATGAAAATCTATAGTCGGGATTTCTACAAAATATACTTTGTACAAAAGAAATGTTGCTATAGTCTTGACTACTGTTGTTCTTTTAACCTGAAGCATACTGAGTCATCAGCAAGTGTACAAAGTACCCCTTGGCAAGTGGTATAGGAGTACACTGGGTTGGAAAGTGCAAAATACATTATGTATTTGTATACAAGCTGGTAAAGGTTCCTAACTTGTCAACAGCTAAAAAATTATTCCTTGTCTCAAGGCACATAACGGTTTTATTTTTGCCCTTAATGTCCATCAAATTATTGCCGACATAAGAATACATTAAACATTTTTTTAAAACAATCATCACAAACTTGTGCCTGGTTGTAACCTAGCCTTATTTTATTTTATTTTATTCACATTTATTTTTCGAGGATTGGGCAAAAAGTTATAAAACTTATCTTGGCCCTCTCCTCACACATAAAAGGAAACAATAAAATAAAGTAATAATAATAATGGTAAGAAAGAACAAAGGTACATAATGAGCTGGTGTACAAATCAAAATCAATCAACTAAATCAAACAAAACGTCCTGTCTGCAAAATAAAGTTGAAAACCACATCAAATATTTTACAATTGTTGACAAACGACAATGAGGGGTTACCCCTGAGAATGGTTGAACATAAAGTGTTGTCAGTGACGTTGTTTGTGTCAAATGGCAGGATGTTATTTAGAGATGATAACATGTCAATACGTTCGTCAGTGTACAGTGGGCAGTGTAGGAAGTAGTGTACAGCTGTTTCGTTGGAGTGACCACATTTGCACGCAGGACTGGGCACACATTGATGTTGGAACAGGTGAAAGTTTAACTGACTGCGGTTAAGTCTGAGTCTGGTAAGGTGGATAGCTGGGTTTCTCGGACCATGAGAGAAGTGAGGTTGAGTGTGAGGGCTGTGATAAAATGTCTCCAACTCTTTTTTAAAGATGGCAATTGATGTTGATGCTCGTGTAGTTAATGGCAAGTTGTTCCAGGAAACAATGGAAGTAGGCAGAAAAGATCTTTTGAATTTCTCAGTTCTAGCAGGAATTAAAACGTAATTCTGATCAGTACGGAGACTGTAGGGGGTGGAGTCACGGGTTTGTAGTGGTACCAATTCCTGTAAGTATTGTGGTGCTAATTCTTTGATAATTTTATAAAAATTTACAAGTTTGTGCTTTTGACGTCTACATGACATGGTCTCCCAGCCAACCTCAGACAAAATGCTATTACTATTTGTTCCTCTCATTGCGCCAGTACATATCCGAGCTGCATTGAGTTGAACAGATTCAATTAAGTCAGAGTCTTTACCAGTTAATCCGTCCCAAACAACATCGGCATACTCCAGTAATGGCCTTATCATTACTTTATATAAAGTTTCAAGAGTTTTTCGTGGAACGAAGGATACTATTCTTTTTAAAAGGTTAATCCGTTTCATCGCGGTAGCAGTTATAATTGAAACATGTAATGACCATGATAGATTAGGGGTAAGATGTAGGCCGAGGTGTTTGTGGGAAGGGACTTCCATTAACTGAACTCCTTTAAAATACAATGGTGGGTGAGCAATTTTTGTACGTTTGGATGAAAATGTAATAAGTTCAGTTTTGAGTGGGTTAAAGGTCACCAGCCATTGGTCTGCCCAGTTTTCCACTATTTTGAGATCATGGTTTAGTCTATCAGCTGAAATAACAGGATCTCTAACAACTTCGGTCAGTGCAGTATCGTCGGCGAATAGACGGCCGTCTGTTACCAAGTCATCCACTAAATCGTTAATAAAAACGAGAAAAAGCAATGGGCCTAACAGCGAGCCCTGTGGCACGCCCGCATCAACAGGCGCCCAGTCAGAACAGGTGCCGTTAATTACGACACGCTGTTGTCGGTCGTTTAAGTAAGAAGAAATCCAAGCTAAAAGAGATCCGGTTATTCCTAGTTGCTCTAATTTGAAAATCAACCCCACGTGCCAGACTTTATCAAACGCTTTGGATATATCTAGGAAGACAGCGCGTGTATCAAGTCCTTTGTCAAGTGCAAGATGCACATTGTGAGTTAGATATGTCAATGAATTTATTGTGGAGTCCCCAGGGGAAAACCCAGCCTTGTACACCCTTATATCTCTTCTTTGATCATAATGCACCTCCTTAACCTCAAACTTCTCTTCCAACATCTTCAAGAAGTTTGTGTCCCTCTCATACCTAATCTTACACCCTAGCAGCACGACAGTCTCACAGTTACTCAGGTGTACCAATGTCTTCAAAAGGTCTTGGAATGTCTTCTTTAAGTAGATGATATCAGCACCTAAGACGTAGTGGAAGGAGGTAGGATAGTGGTGTAAGTTTTGCCCCCAGGTGAGTTCTTGGATGACCACAGGATGTCGGGTTGTTCCTGGTGGGATGTTTGTTTCCACGTTACTGCGTAGTGAAGCCAGGGCAATCTCTCTCTCCGTGATTGTCACTTTAGCTCCTGGAGGGTTGTAGAATTCAATATGACATAGAATTAGAATGACGGCAACACAAGAAATCAAAGCCCTCCTACCCAGTAAAATATTTAGAGTTGTTGTGGAATTTCTTGTTTCATTCACTAGTGTGAATTTCTGATTGATTCTGTCTCTGCATTTTCCTAGTGGCTACCATAAGGCAACAGCCATGCATATTAGCAGGAAACTGAAAACAGGAAAGAACATAACCTTTTCTGGGACCTTTGTCCTAATAACTTCCTGTTGAATAAATGTACTGGAGCTATACAAAAAGGAGGGCAGAGTTGATGAGTTTGATCTAGAATGATGATTAGATCAAAGGAGTAAGCATTTAGCCAAGGCCTAAGATCCCCCTGGAAAATTTTGGAACAGTCCTCAGAGAGACACCAGTTAAGTATAGATGGCATTCTAACCTTAACACCCACCTGTTCATTATCATATGTGCAGTGACACACCACCATGGGTGTGGTGAAAAATGGAAGACATAGTAGTACTTGTACAGTTTATAACACAGGAATGGAGACAGACAGCTCTCAGCAGGTAGTGGAAGAGACAAGGTGGCAGCAATACAGGTAAGACTTATATCTAATAGTCATACAATTCAGGGCTCAAAATACCACCTGAAAGGGTGATAGAACATGTTGTTGTTGTAACATGGAGGTGTCAGAACATAGGGCACTGTTGGAACATATAGGGCACTGTTGTACACAAGGGGGTGTCAGAACATGGAGATGTTGGAATACATAAGGTGTTGTAACATAGGAGTGTTGTTATGTTTTTTTTGTTTTTGTTTGGTTTTTAATAAAATTTCATTGTCCAAACAGTACCCGAGCAGTCACAGCCTTTATACGGCTGAATTGATGCAGGTTATCACATAATAATCAATACAGATCACAACAATCAAATAATACACACATGATACACATATTTGTTCCACAAATTTTTGTGGAACTGTCGCAAGGGTTTGTGCGGCTGCCATTCTGCGCCACCAGGTGACCTCAATACGACTTTCCCCAACCGAAGTTAGGTACCCATTCACACCTGGGTGGAGTGAGGAAATTCGTGTTAAGTGCCTTTCCCAAGGGCACAATGTCGGGACGCATGTTCAGACATGTCCCGGTTACGACCCGGAATCGAACCCGGGTCTCCCCGCTTCATAGTCGATTGCTCTAACCACTACACCACCCAACGCCACACGTAATCTTGGTTAATCTCCAAGCAGATCTCTTGGTGGCTGCAAAGACAGAATCAAATTGGCCAGACTGTATCCATTGACCTGGCCAATCTGATACTGTCTTTGCTGCCACCGAAAGGTCTGCTTGAAGATTAACCTTGGGTTTTTAACACTCACCCTGTAGTGCAGCCACCATGCCGGTCAGTCCTGTCCCTGCACCCAGCTCGATCACAGTCTGGTCAGTCAGGGACACTTCTGACTCCAGGTACTCACCTAGAACTACTGCCTGGATCAACAACAAATTACGAGTCAAGTCAAAGTTTATTTCACAACAATTGTAAATGCCATTTTTTTGTAACGCATAATAATCAAGCCTTTGAAGTCTTCACAATTCATAGGCAACTGGCCAAAATCAACATCATTTAAGCATCATGATTTAGCATAATTCATAATCAGCTCTCCGAATTCAACATAATTTCCAATCAGTGGCAAAACTTTTGTGTTTATATCTAGTACAGACTGTCAGGCTGTCAATACTAAGTCTTCTAAGCTATACTGATAAAATTACAATAGAACTTAACATAGAAATTGCAGCATACGGCTTAGAAGATACTTAGAAGATACTTAGAAAAACCCAAACCTCTGCTTGGAGAGTATTGACTACCGCCCCCCTCCCACCCCACTACTCACCGCATCCCACACCACAGCCGCTACCCCGAGTTCCCGCCAACTCTGCCGGATCACCAGCTCTCTTCCCGCCAACCTGAACCTTCTCTCCGCCAGGTGAAACGGCGAGAGTTTGTCCTCGTCATAAGGCACCACGGCTAGGGCGTAAGACTTGTCGTTTCTTCGGTCGGCCTGGTTTGAGTTGCCATCACGGGAATGGCAGGTTGTTTCTGCGGCATTTTGTTGAAAATCTCGGGAAAGTAATTGTTCAAACGTTACTCTTTGGCAAGAAAATACTAGTAAGTCGTGGTTTCCTTGGCTAAAGGATAACCGGGTAAATATAACAAAGAAAGTACAAACAAATGGGTTAAGAAAGGAAAGAACTGAGTGGAAACCATTACCCATTACAACGTCCACGTCTGAGGTAGAACCCGGAAGTACTGGTTTCTGGGATGGTGGTGACTTATTCTGCTAGGTGTCGCTTTTGACACGTGCTCTACCATTTACCAGGCTTTTTATTGGTCTCACGACCAAGCCTGTACAAGGCTATAAACCCTCTTTGAGTGTCCCTTGGCCAGGCCTGTTCCAAGCTATCAATTGATTTTGAATGGCTTCAAGACCATGGCCAAACCTGTACAAGGCTGTTATTGTTTGTAGCATGACGCAATCACGTAACCACATGTGTTAGTGACTCGTTCCCAGGTTTCGACATCAGGGGCTAAAATAAAGATTTACCGAATCCCGGAATCGTGGAATATTTTGCTGACAATCATCCCTTGCACACCCCTCTTCTTACTCGTAAGTTTATATTTTCCGATTCTTACAAATTTTAATTTCTTTTGGACAATGTACGAGATCTTGATCGTCCTATGAAGAAGTGCAGTACGCAATCATCCCCTACGTGAGACTCCTTTGAAACTCCAAAAGCGCGCGAACATGTAAACAAACATGGCGGCCCGGTTGTGTTTTCTGCGTGACATGGCAGAATTGAGCGCGTTGTGGAGCATTTAGCGGTATTGGAGGACCACCAACCTTCCGTACACCGAGTTAAGAGAGCAGACAAGCAAAAGGGACACCAAAAAACCGGGATGAAAACGGATATAATCACGCAGACGACCGGTTCGGTCAAGAAATATTCCCACGACTCCGTACAGTGTACTATATTCTGTATATTCAGTCAGGTTGTATGATGGGTTTAGGTTTATATAATTTGAAGGTTTTTTTCCACAACTTTTCTAATCGTTCATGGGAAGGTAAAACTGTCAATATGTATCATCAGTAGACAAACATGACAAAATCGTCGTTTGGCATTTTTTGTACGTTGGTTTATATTGTGAATACTGTAAATTGAAAGAAACGAATGAGCGAATAAAAAATGAAACTTGTCCTATGCCTGAGTTTTCGAAGTATTCAATATAGTTATGCACACGCCTCGCCCACATAAATTTCGTTGCACTTGACAGGAATATCGCCCTCTGTAGGGCTTCTGTGCTCCAGGCCTCTTGATCAGCACCAAGGTCAGCACCAGTTAACATTTGGAACAGGTTTAATCGTGCGGCCTTTCAGCAAGGTCAGAAGGATCTTGTAGCCTGGAATAAGCCTGTCTTTGCGGCGATTCAGAAGGATTCAGAAGAATCGAATTTTAACTGGTGCTGACCTTAAGAGTAGGAAATAGTCGTTCACTTGACTATAAAACGTCCTGACGTCGGTGAAACGTATTGACACTACCTGGCTGGTGGACCGTGTAGCAGTGGCCTCTAGCGATTTGTCTGCAAACTGCAGGCTCACATTTACCTGTGTCTGACGTAACCGTAGTAGTGTAGTTGCACACTGGCCTTTGTGATGTTCATGTCGGTACAAAATACTACATTTAGTCACTCACAGCAACATTTCCTGTTATGTTTCCCCGTCCCATGTTTTGGCCGTTGTTTTGGTTATCGCTATGGGTAGAATTGAAGTTATAATTAGGGTTAGAGTTGGAAATATGCGTCCCATTCACTGCAAAGCGCCCTGACGTCGGTGAAACGTATTGACACTATCCGGCACATGTAACGTGTAGCAGCGACCTCTGGCGATTTGTTTCCAAACACAACATTTTGTACACAACAATACAAAACATATCGAAAAGTTCAGTCCGTCGATTGTTTCGTGCTGAGCGGCTGATGCGGGTTCAGCTCAAGCAGATTTTGGTGGCCGAAAGACAGTATCACATTGGTCATGCAGTATCCATTTGCCATGCAGTTTGAGTTTACCATTTGCCACTGTAATAATCCGAAGCCCAAACCTCTGCTTGGAGAGTTATGGTTGGGCTACTCTCCAATCAGAGGTTTGGGGTTATTTATTTTGGCGTGTTTTTAGGCTTTCATTTGGGGTTTCTTTTTGCACTGGAATTTCCCCCAACCCAAAAACCCCGATACAAAAAAAAGCCTTTAATAAAAACACGTCAAAAATAACCCAAACCTCTGCTTGGGTAGCAGGGTTGGGCCAAATTTGCCATCTGTGCGGACGGCCCATCGCGTGCGAGTGTTTGACACATGGCCCGATACCGCGGGCTTCGGGAAAGAATTTTCGGATTTTGTTTCTCCAAAATTGAGGGTAACGATATTTATAGAAAGACTATTTCCTTAATGCCAGTTTGAAAGAAACTGAATATATGGTGCATTTCTTATGCAGAGGATACAATTCGACAAAACTCTCCAACAAAAATTTGGGGAAGGATTCAAAAGATCTCAAAACAGAAGAGTATTTGTGAACTGAAAGTAGGTAAGGAAGGTTTGAAAAGGAGCCTTCAATTTTAACCAAAAAAAAGGAAATTGATTAAAAACTTTGCATCAACAAGAACCGTTCTTTCAATTTTCCACTGTCCAAATTTACTTTATGTTTTAGTGAACGTTCCGTTAAAAATCTCGGTTCAAAACAAGGACATAGACACATAGGCATATACATGTTTGTACATTGTATATAGTGATCATTTTTGCACATTGCTCCTTCCCATACGATTTGTCCCCTCATCTCAGTACTTGTATATGCAATGGGCTAAACGGAAGTGTCAATTATAACAGAACCGTGCTAAATGAATTTTCACAAATTAACTAGAACTGTACTGAGTTACATAATTATTCCCCACCCCCGTTTCTAGCTCATTACAAACAAAAACTAAATTTCCCATGCAAAAGTTGTTTTGGGATTGTGGATTTTGTCGGTGTCGCTTTGCCGATGTTTCTTTTCAATCCACCGGGGCGGTCTGGCGATGTCGGCGGGCTCGCAAGTCGGTAGCAACCGATACTCTTGAAGCCCCCCGCCGGTCCCATGGGACACTCGTCAACAGGCTTCCCCGTAGACTTCAAAATAAATATTTATTTCCAGCGAAACTGCTGAGACAACCCCGTCGGTTTTCCTCAACGTTTCAAGAAGAAAGAAAGAGAAAAACTGTTAACGCCGCCCGAGGTTTAGAAGTCGAGATTTGCATCTATTCTGTGGTTTGCAAATTTTTCCAGACGTGTGCAAATATTTGGAGGGCAAACATTTGTTCTAACGGTGTTTCTATTGCAAACCATTTCCATGGCTTTTGGTCTGTCTCTTCCGATCTTCATACTTGAAATATGTTTTAACGACATGTGTGATACTATTCACTTGTTACTTTTTTCGTTGTTTTCTAAATTCCATCACACAATATATGCTAACGCCGCAAATTGTAAATTACATACCATGTACATACTGAAGTACTAAGAGAAATTCTCATCCTACTTTCCAAGATCGCAAAAAAAGTGACCACCCTAGCTACGAAAAAAATCAACCACAGTCAGAAACCTTTCAACTTCTCTTTTTTCAGAATTGAAGAATGAGAAGTGGGCTCGACGTAAGATTTAGACGACAGACAAAATGGTTTCGTGTGGAACAGACAAACAAGACAATAGAAGTGATTGCGTTTGGTGATTACCATTGTAGAAGAGTGCCGCCTCTTGCCCCTCCCAGAGTTTTTCACGACCGGCGACTTCAAACCCACAGTAATTATCAGTTCACACATTTGTGATTGTCTCCCCTGACAAAAGCTCCCCCCTCTCCATACCCCCTGCTAATCTCGTGGGGAAGCGACTCATGAATGAAAATCTCCAAAATTTGGGCGGCGGTGGTTTTGAAGTGGCCGACAAAGTGTCTGGAAGTGTAATGGTGTATAATGGCTGCTGTAATGTCTTCATTTACACCCAATTGTGTCTTTTGACAGAAGGAAGGGTTTTGGTGAGAAGATTATGCAAGGGAAAAAAACAGCCCAGAACAACAATTTTTGGCTTCCTTGATCTAAATCAAGAGGATTTGTACAAAAATCCGCCTTATTGTATCCATTTGTATCATTGCAAAGACCAACTTCAAAGTTGTATGTACGTCATGATACATTCGTTCAAAGTAGAGAAAAAATTGCTATGCTCACCAGTTATTATCGAACAGAAAATGACGAAATATATAATTTAAGGTTTTAGGAAAAGCTGCTGTGTTGGGGTTTGCGCTTTGGAAAAATCAGCGATAATTTGCTACTCACACAAAAGACACACACATACATCAATAGTTTTGTTGTGCAAAAAGTGAAAAGCACGGAGTTTTGTGCAGAATGTTGCAAAATGCATTTTCTTTGCTTTCCTTTAAGTTTACGCAACGTTTGTTATCCTGTCTCGCTTACTTACAAAAATCGCTAGGTGGCGCGCTACCAACCACACGTACTCTCCGTAGCTCCCGTCACTCGGGTCTACAAAAACGTCTTTTTCTGGACTTTAAGTGTGCATCTACCTTCAATCTTCAGCTTGAGGCTTTGTTAAGAACACTAGAAGGGAACTTGCCAAAAAATTGCCGGAATTTGAAGTCCTGTTGGATAGATTTCGTTAATTTCCTCCAACCGAGTATCAGTGGGGAGGGCGCTGTCCGACTCTCCTTTGTTCTACTTCAAGTGACGCTGGGCCCCTGGCTCTGCTAGCTGGCATCAAGACGACACAGCACGATGACGAGTCCTTCACCAGCAGTCTTGGATCTAAAAGCCAGGATTCTAAAGCGACTTGCAGCTTTTGAACGTCATCAAAACAACCCACCATGGCAGGTTGATAGGATTGGCGAGATAGCGACTGACAACAATTCCACCACTTTGGAAGCGCTGAAGGAAGTCCGACAGGAGCTGTTCACAGAGTTTGAAGGTCTTCCAAACAAGCCAGAGTCTTTGGTAGACGGGAGGTTAGTAAGACGTAATAAGAACACGTCACAGCGCTATACCTTGATAAAGGACATTATTGCCCTGGTAAACTTCATTAAACATGGAGACCAGTCAAAAGAACTGCGTGACTGCATACGTTCTAACCTCGAATCCTACACGCTTAGCCAAACAAGCGACAGTAATGATACACAGTTATTAGGAGAGGAATGTGCTCCAAAGTGTGACCTACCACAAGACAATAATGTAGCGCGG